TGCCCACTTCCCCCCCCCCTTACCCCCCCCCCCTGCCCACCCCCCTTCCCCCCCCTGCCCACCCCCCCTGCCCACTTCCCCCCCCCCTGCCCACCCCCCTTCCCCCCCCTGCCCACCCCCCCTTCCCCCCCCCTGCCCACCCCTCCTTCCCCCCCCTGCCCACCCCCCCTTTCCACCCCCTGCCCACCCCCCCTTCCCCCCCCCTGCCCACCCCCCCTTCCCCCCCCCTGCCCACCCCCCCTTCCCCCCCCTGCCCACCCCTCCTTCCCCCCCCTGCCCACCCCCCCTTTCCACCCCCTGCCCACCCCCCCTTCCCCCCCCTGCCCACCCCCCCTTCCCCCCCCCTGCCCACCTCCCCTTGCCCCCCTGCCCACCCCCCCTTCCCCCCCTGCCCACCCCCCCTCCCCCCCCTGCCCACCCCTCCTTCCCCCCCCTGCCCACCCCCCCTTTCCACCCCCTGCCCACCCCCCCTTCCCCCCCCCTGCCCACCTCCCCTTGCCCCCCTGCCCACCCCCCCTCCCCCCCCTGCCCACCCCCCCTTCCCCCCCCTGCCCACCACCCCTTCCCCCCCCTGCCCACCCCCCCTTCCCCCCCCCTGCCCACCCCCCTTCCCCCCCCCTGCCCACCCCCCCTTCCCCCCCTGCCCACCCCCCCTTTCCACCCCCTGCCCACCCCCCTTCCCCCCCCTGCCCATCCCCCATTCCCCCCCCTGCCCACCTCCCCTTCCCCCCCCTGCCCACCTCCCCTTCCCCCTCCTGCCCACCCCCCCTTTCCACCCCCTGCCCACCCCCTCTTTCCACCCGCTGCCCACCTCCCCTTGCCCCCCTGCCCACCCCCCTTCCCCCCCTGCCCACCCCCCCTTCCCCCTCCTGCCCACCTCCCCTTCCCCCCCCTGCCCACCTCCCCTTCCCCCCCCTGCCCACCCCCCCTTTCCACCCCCTGCCCACCCCCTGCCCACCTCCCCTTGCGCCCCTGCCCACCCCCTTCCCGCCCCTGCCCACCCCCCCTTCCCCCCCCTGCCCACCACCCCTTCCCCCCCCTGCCCACCCCCCCTTTCCACCCCCTGCCCACCCCCTTCCCCCCCCTGCCCACCCCCCCTTCCCCCCCCTGCCCACCCCCCCTTTCCACCCCCTGCCCACCCCCCTCCCCCCCCCCTGCCCACCCCCCTTCCCCCCCCTGCCCACCCCTCCTTCCCCCCCCTGCCCACCCCCCTTCCCCCCCCCTGCCCACCCTCCCTTCCCCCCCTGCCCACCCCCCCTTTCCACCCCTGCCCACCCCCCTTCCCCCCCCTGCCCACCCCCCCTTTCCACCCCCTGCCCACTCCCCTTCCCCCCCCCTTCCCCCCCCCCCCTGCCCACCCCCCATTCCCCCCCTGCCCACCTCCCCTTCCCCCCCCTGCCCACCTCCCCTTCCCCCCCCCCTGCCCACCCCCCCTTCCCCCCCCTGCCCACCCCCCTTCCCCCCCCTGCCCACCCCTCCTTCCCCCCCCTGCCCACCCCCTCTTTCCACCCCCTGCCCACCCCCCCTTTCCACCCCCTGCCCACCGCCCTTCCCCCCCCTGCCCACCCCCCTTCCCCCCCCTTCCCCCCCCTGCCCACCCCCTTTCCCCCCCCCCCTGCCTACCTCCTCTTCCCCCCCTGCCCACCCCCCCTTCCCCCCCCCCACTGCCCCCCCCCACTCCCCCCTTCCCCTCCACTGCTCCCCCACTCCCCCCTTACCCCCCACTCCCCCCACTCCTCCCCTGCAACACCCCCCCCCCAACCAGTGACGTCACTGCAATTAAAAAAAATCCGCCTCATCCTCCTGCCCTAGGGGCACAGCCGTACGCAGCGCGACGAGAGCTCGACGAGGGCGGCGGTTGCTGCCCCAGAGGCGTCTTGCAAACGCAAAGGTGAATGTGAGGGGGGTGGGGTAGGGTGTGAGGGGGCCGGGGTGAGGGGGGGGTGAGGGGGCCGGGGTGAGGGGGGGGGGCGCCGCTATAAAAGGGCGTGAGGACGCAACTGCCTTCGCCATTTTGTGTTGCGGGAGTGTTGGAGGCGGCGGTGTTGTCACCGAGAAGGCAAGGCCGCCTGGTTCTTTATTTGTTATGTTATCCCCCCCCCTCTCTCCTCTCCCCCATCGTCGTTAGCCATTACATTCACGGTGGTTAAGAATCGCGGTTGGGATGGCCCGAGCTGACGGCGCGGTTGTTGTTGTTGTGTCGTGATCGACAAGGGCCGCGCGGAGATTCGAGACGTTTCCACCGCGCTATAAGGTGGAGGCCGAAGGGATATGGGCCTCTGCGTAGCGTAGCTTCTGTATTTTACACGGCGCACTATAGATATTTCTCAATCGCCGACGTGATGTGTTGGTTACTTATTTATTTGCGTGCGAGGTAAACAATAAAAACAATCGTCGCGATGTCGTTTGCGAGAGGCGCGCGCGGTTACATTGAAGCCATCGCGACCCGCCAACCTTGTACCGCTCAGTTACAACGACGAAGAAAACAACGTCGTAGCGTTTAAATACGAATCTAGATTTTAATACACGCGTTGGCATCGTTTGGGGTAGGTGGAGGATGAGAGACGTGTCGATGTGAAGTTGTTTGTGCGAGATGTCAATGGCATTAGCCGTGGGGTGGCCTCTTCCACGCTGTTACTAAAATGGCCTCTGCTGCCACTCACGGCTCGGCCAGGCGCAGAGGGCATTCGGAATAATTGCTACGATTTTAATACGCACCGCTAATGTTCAGTCAAAAGCCACAGAGTATAACCTTTATTGTAAAGCGATAAGCTCTGCGGATGTGGTGTAAAATGCAACCGTCGATTTATTTTTTACATGAGACTGATGATCGACAACATGCCACATTTTTACTGCATCTTAAGCTAATTTTTAGCGTGATTTGAATTTCAAAAATCACACTTTGGGCTCGTATGTAGGGGGCACGTTTTTTTAGCGATCTGCTTTTTGTATTCGTTATTGGTTCTGCAAATTAGTTGATTAAATATCCGTTATCCGAGCGAACGTAATTTGTGACCCAATTGTGTTACAATGTTGGCTCATTAAGATGCCTCCATTAATTTCACCAATTGCGTTGCAATTATTTTCTAGAGATTGTACTTCGTAAAAGCACATCCGTAGATTTGTATAACCTTTTAACCCGTTACACTTGAGCTGCATGGTTCAAATTCGGTGCTATCCCTTATTGAGCCACCGATAATGCAACCTGAAATCCGCCACGAATACGAGCCAAAGCCTGCACTTTAAGGCACACTTCCAGAGCCAACTTTGTGTTTCGCGTAATTGAACCAGATCTTGTTTTTCCTCCGTATGAACCCACCCCCTCGGATGTGTGCAGGGAAGAGTGGGCTCAACTTAAGCTCTCGACGTTCACACGTCTCGCATCTCCCCCCCCCCCCATCGCCATGAGCGCCAATTGCCCCCTGGACTGCAAGGTGTACGTGGGCAACCTGGGAAACAATGGCAACAAGGCAGAGCTCGAGCGCTCCTTCAGCTACTACGGCCCTCTGCGCTCCGTGTGGGTGGCGCGCGCCCCGCCGGGGTTTGCCTTCGTGGAGTTTGAGGACCCTCGTGACGCGGGCGATGCTGTGAGGGAGCTGGACGGGAGGTACGGGACTGCATGCAAATTGATGGGCGGCAGGGGGAGGCACTGTGTTAAACCATGTCCCGGGGCCGTGGGGGTCAGTATTTAATGAATGATTTGGATGCATATGACCGTCTTAATACATTAGGAGTGTCTCTTAGATGCCCTACAGGCACAACAAAATGGTTTACACCATCATGGCCCAATATGCTGTATTTGGATTGCAATACTCGCTTGATTTTGAAGCAAAAGTTCGGGGTATGAATTTGGTCGCTTAACGTTGGTTGTCACCACGGCGTGCAGTTATCAAGACACGTTTGAGCCTATCAAAATGGTGGCCAAGTTGATTGGCCTCGGCTTAGTCTCGTCATGGATGCAACATGTAATTTACCTTGGCGCATTTCTGCACCCAGGTGACAGGTATAATTTTAACAAAGTGTAGTGTCTTCAAAAATTACTCGGACCGACACGTTGTAACAAGTCACTTAACACTTTATTCACATGTTCTTGCGCCAGTTATAGGCACTCCTATAACTATCTGTATGGTCACATATACTTAACTTCTCCCCGCTCTTATCTATTTTGCACCTCACTTATCCAGCACTCAGCAGATCTGCACTCAGCGACTCCGCACACAGCGTCTTCGCATTCAGCGACTCCGCACACAGCGTCTTCGCACTCGGCGACTCTGCACACAGAAACTTCGCATCTCCACCGCTGCCCTCACCTACGCTCCCTCAGACCCGCTCACCCGTCTGTCCCGGGCGGGGGGTTCGACCAACACCCGCCCGGCGACGACGTGAGGGTTGATCCCGTTGACGGCTGGAGCGACAACGGCGATGTCTTCACTGGTTCCCGGCAACAACTCCCCTTGCTCACACACACTCCCACTTGTATATCCCCCTTAGCACCTGTTCGATCTCAGTTGCACCCGCTTCGCCCCTTAACTGTCGGTTTGTCAGTGTAAACCTCATTTTGCAACGCGCACACCTGTTTGCCCTCCGTTGCACCCGTTTAACTGTGCGCACTGCGTATTTTTCTCCTCTACAAAAGGAACAAACCGAGTTTGCCAAAATATTTAGCCGGGAAGTAGGGCGACGGACAAAATTTAAAAAAGAGGTGGAGGCTGACGGTGAGTTAGACAGGAAATGAGATGGTGCCTCAAGCTCTTAGGATTTGGAGGTGGAAAGAGATTGTAAAAGGCAAAACCTTTGCTCAGCTGTGAGATGTTAACAGTACTACGAATAATGTGCCCCGTCTATTTTTAAAGTTCTTTTGGTATGCCCACTCCCATGGAAGAATGCCACAACATTTCAAAGCACCCACCGAACATGCATAATTGTGCCCGATGGTTTATGGTGAGCATTGCTCTTTTGCCCACAGAACGTTGTGTGGTTCGCGTGTGAGGGTGGAGCAC